GTAGCACTTCCTGCGGTTGCAGGGAAAAGTGCCTGGTGTGGTGGAGCTGGAGGGGAGTGTGGAGCGGACAAGGGAGTCACGGAGAGAGTGGTCCCTCCGGAAAGCAGATAATGGTGGGGAGGGAAAGATGTCTTTGGTGGTGGGGTCGGATTGCAGATGGCGGAAGTGTCAGAGGATGATGCGTTGGATCCGGAGGTTGGTGGGGTGGTACGTGAGGACGAGGGGGATTCTATTTTGGTTCTTATTGCGTGGACGGGGTGTGAGGGATGAGTTGCAGGAGATGTGGGAGACATGGTGGAGGGCGTTCTCGACCACTGAGGGGGGGAAGTTACGGTCCTTGAAAAACGAGGACAACTGAGATGTACGGGAGTGGAATGCCTCGTCCTGGGACCAGATGCGGCAGAGGCGAAGGAATTGGGAATAGGGGATAGCATTTTTGCAGGAAGGTGGGTGGGAGGAGGAGTATTCTAGGTAGCTGTGGGAGTCGGTGGGCTTGAAATGAGGTATATCTTTGCCATGTTTCAGTCCTGCAGCAGGAAAGTTGTCAGGATGGAATCACTGTGGTTGGTGATCTGGTTGATAGCAGTTATCACTATGTTGAGCATTAGATTGTTGTCTAGCTCACTTGTCTTGGGTATGTTATGGGAAGTTCTGCAGGTGCATGTCCATCCTGAAGTTGAGTGGCTAGCTCTACAAAGTGCTGTTCCCTTGGCCATGGATATTGTCCTGGTCTTCGAGGAGACTCTTGCCATCTTTGGATCTGACAATGTTGATCCTTGTGTTGGGAGTCCATAAATCTCTATGGTTGCCTTGAAAAAGGCACATGTGACCTACATGTCAGTGAGTTTAATTCCCACAGCTTTTCCTGTCTATCATTTGTATTTTAAATACAAGTGCTTCTTTGAACTTTCACTTTTGCTATCTGGTGAGAAAGCTTTTCTTCTGAAGACTTGCGTCCAGTTGCAAGGTTTGGAATGCTGTCTGTTTATTATCAGTGAGTTTGCATATTCTGTATTGCTCTCATCAAATTTGTCTTGCTGTCTTTTAGTGGTGTATCCAAGGATTTCTTGACATATTAGTGATTATGGATTTTAGTGACTGTCGGTCACCTTGGATGTTGATAAATGGTGCATAGTGCAACAAAACCCAAAACGTGAGGGAATAAAATACTTCCCAAATCTTATGAAATTGTAGAACATCCATAGTGTGTCTCTTAGCTCAATTTCAAATTTGAATGAACAAGGCACAAAGAGTTGATCTCAGTAGATGCTTATTTTGTTCTGAGATTAAATGACATTTTTAAATTGGCTGAAAAACTAAAATAAATGAAACCAATTTCAAATAATATGTTAAAAATTAGTTCCTTCTGGTGACTCTCAATTGAGATCATACTCTGATATCCCTACTTCCTTAAAGGAGGCTGTGAAGCTTTCATGCCATATTGAGCTGGACCACAAAGCACAAGATGATCTAGCTTTTGTCTGGCAAAACTTTCTTCTATTCCTTGATCAAATCATCTTCTTAATTCCCTTTTCTCTGCCTTCTCCACGCTTGCCTTCAACATCAAGTGCTAGAAGTTCATGAATTTCTGTGTCATTAAGATTGAAACTATTCATTCAGTTGCCTCTGCCGCATTTGTCCCTACGATTCTATATCTGACTGCTCTAAACTTCCTTTTAAAATTCTAACCGTGAACTTACAACTTTCCCTATGTTATCTCCTGTCTGCCAGTGTACCCTGTTTGAGCTCATTTTTTTATTTATTCTTTCACAGGATTTGAGCATTGCTGGCCAGGCCACCATTTATTGTAAATCCCTTATTGGTCTTGAGAAGTTAGTGGTGGGCCTCCTTCTTGAACTGCTGCAGCCCATGTAGTGTAGGGACACTCACAGTACTGTTAGGAAAGGAGGTCCAGGACTTCGACCCGGTGACAGCGAGAGAATGGCAATATCTTCTTCATGAGACTCTCTTGTTCATGAGACCTGTCTCGTGAATGAATGCGGACCCTTCAGAAATGACAGTGACATTAAGACAAATACTTTGGGTGAGATCTTAATTCTGTGCAAGTGGTTGGCTTTGGAAAGAGTTAAAATCAGGGTTTGATTTTTCATACATGCTCATGGTAGAAGATATAAAAAAGCATTCTGAAAATAGTGGAGAACCAAGGAATTAGTGAAATGGATGCACGGAAAATGCGAAAGGTTATAGACTGGTTGAGTAAGTGGACAAGAATACTTCAAAGGCTAAATGGAATATCAATCATTTAGACTTTAAAATCAAAACGCAATTTTGAATTTTGCAGTTAGCAGTTGTGGGTATGGGTGGGTAGTCAATAATAAGGAGGACAGCAACAAATTGCAAGAAAGTATTAACAAACTTGCTGAATGGGCATAACTTTTGCAAATAGATTGCAATGAGGATAAATGTGAGCTGTTACATTTTGGCAAAAAGGGTAAGGAGGATGCATGTTCTGAGGAAATTAGAATCTCACTAGGGCAGAGGAGTGAAAGGGGTACAAGTACACTGCTCAGTAAAAGTAGTGACTTGGGTTAACAAGGCCAGAAAATAAACCAAGCATTTGGGTTTATTTCTAGAAAGATAGAATTGAGAAGTAGGGAAGGTATGTTGAATTTGTATCAAAACATGGTGAGACTACACTTCAAGAAGCTCATACAATACTGTCTACCATATTATGAAGATGACTGTGGCATTGAAGAGGGTGGAAAAAAGATTTACAGGAATGGTACCCCAGAAATGTCAGGAAACCCCTGTAAAGAGAGGGTGACCAGGGTGGATCTCCATTCTCTTGAAAAGAGAAGGCAGAGGGGTAACCCCAAAGAAGCCTCTGAACATTTTGAAAGGTTTTGAAAGAATATACACAGAAGGAACAGGATGGCTTTTGCCAGTAAGTCACAGTCCTGCAGCAGTATTAATTGTAGCTCAGGAACTAGAAAGTGGCCATGATAGGATCTTCCTGGAGATTGCCAATTAAGAAGTTCCCTTGAGGCTCCCATCCAGTAAGGGATAGTGACTAGATTCCAACCTGGATATGAATGCCAGCTTCCGCTGCAATTTGAAATTTGCTGAGTGACCAACAGCATGAATGTACCACAAGTAGGAGTGCAGCAACTACCATTGCAGCAAATGCGACATTAATGGTGATATCCTTTTGCATGACGTGGCTGAAATGGCATGCCTTTCACTTGGGAGGCTTGAACACTGCAATTTGTTGCCAGTAATTTAATAAGGCCACACACGGTTTGTGGTTTGGTGGTCCAACAATGAAACCATGCTGCTCAATTTCTGGGCTCTTAACATATTGGGGGTCCATTTATCATTCAGTGATATTTCAATCTAATTGTGTAATTGGGGCTAAATGCCCCATTTCATCTCCTCTTGGTCTCCTGCAGATGGCATCCCACATTCAGGAAAACTGCAAGGAGATGAGAACGTGACAGGAGCTGCACTGACATGAGTGGAATATATTTTCCTTACCTGACTCCTCAAAACATTTATTCGTGGTCTTGGCAAATTCAGCCCAATGTTTCTACTTGGGGATGAGAGCAAAACTAGAGGATATCAAAATAAGATAGCTATCAAGGAATCAAATAGGGAATTCAGAAATGACTCACCTGGGATTGGTGAGAATATGAATCTCGCTCCACAAGGAGTGGTTGAAGCGAATGCTGCAGAGGCATTTGAAATACAAAATATCTCTTGCAGATCTTGAGTTGCTGGAACCTGCTTTTCAAGTGTGGTATGGCAATACAATTTCCATAAATTCTCATTTCCAGTAACATGCATTTTTTGAGAGTAAACATATAGTTGTGTTGAATTGCATCATGCAATAATTATTAATATACAAGCATTAATTTTTGTATAGGAGAGATCCTTACCACTTTAACCAGAATGGATTTACCCTACAGAGATAAAACTAAACCATCTTGCAAAATAGAAAGGAGTACATTTTATTGTTGGAATATTTTAGGGCAACTAGCTATAAGCTAGTTACAAATGTTTCTTGGAGGCATCATGTTGATGAATGCACAGCTTGTATGTCAAATCTGAAAATGACCCTTTATTTTGCAGTTAATTTGACTAGGCAGAGTATTGTGGGCAATTGCTGAACTAGCCAAAGGTCATGAGAAACAATATTGATAACAAATAAACCATTGAAACTTCTAACCATCCAGTTTGTTCCAAGCAGAACCGAATATTATTTCTTGTGAAGTTATCTCTGAACATATTCAGTAAGATGCATGGGAGATAGAAGAGAATTTGGCGAAGGGACCCTACACAGCAGGGAATAATTGAAAGTGATAGAAATTTAATGTCAAATGTCCAAACGAAGTTGGTGCAAACAGAAATCTAGAATAATGTTGTAATAAAAGTAAAACACTGCTGACGCTGGAAATCTGAAATAAAAACAAAAAAATGCTGGAAATAGCAGGTCTGGCAGCATCTATGGAAGGAGGGATGGAGTACATATTTCAACTCGAATATGACTCTTCAAATCTGTGCTAATGCAATCTTGTATGTGATCTTGTTTGTCCAGATATAATTGCGGTATGATTTAGGAAAGTGTTAAACATGTAGCTATGATATACTGATCTGATATAGGGGATCATGTTTTATGTTGCTACTGCCATCACTAAATATTTATACTCTCAACTATCTGGTATTTAAGCCTTTCGTTGTTGCCACTTGCACTACATTGTCTGCTTAAATATTTTAGCATGCATTTTCTTTTTAACCTAATGACTTTAATGTATTGGCTATAAGTTGATTTTATTTAAGGTCTGTTCTTTTGCATGTTGTAACAAAATACTGCCCTCTTCAAAGATCTTCTACACATTAAAGTTATAAATGGGTTTTATCCTGTAAGTATTGTGTACAATTTAATGGAAAGCCTTTCAGTGAAATGGCCTGAAAGATAGAAAGTTTAATCTTATAATGGGTTTGGTAATGTCTAATTTATGACTTTTTCTCTTTCTTTTCAGGTAGTTTCTATTTCTGAGAGGGTCGGTATGAATTACAGAGGTGTGTATAAATTTAATTATTTAATATTCAACAGTGTTAGTTTTAAGAATAATGTCAAAGTCATTGAATCTATCTCCTCTCACAACTGCATTGTTATTTGAAATGAATGGTGAAGAGACTCTCTACTTCATCTCTACATAGAGATAACAAGGTATAGAGCTGGATGAACACAGCAGGCTAAGCAGCATCAGAGGAGCAGGAAAGCTGACGTTTTGGACCTGGACCCTTCTTCAGAATTCATCTGTACAGTTGGTTTTGGAAGGAATTTTAAACTTTCACTTCACCCAAATGGCATCTTTGGGTTTGTGCACAAATGAAATATTTTGCACAAGCTCACTGTGTTTTCAGCCAATACTTGCCATACACATTTACTTTGTAAGCGTTTTAAAAAGACTTCAATTAAATTTGGACACTTTTTAAAAACAACAGCTTTTTTTTGTGTTTTTTTGTTCCCCTCTCCTCTGGAACTATTGCTTAGTTCACCTGAAGTACATTTGTGTGGGTGATGTTGCTGCATTTTTGTTTTGCAAGGGATCCCTCTTCTCAGCATTTGAACTTGGTCATCTCCCCATGAGAGCTTAGCAATCCACTTTGCATTCAACATCCATTTAATAGTTTCTGGATGCCCCTGAAATAATGCACCTCTATATGAACACCATTCAGTGACGTTCATGAGCAACGTTAATACCTTAATGAAATAATGTGCATTTATAAAATGTTACAGGTCAGAAGATGACTGTTTTGTCATCAATCCCTTTCTTTTAAAAGAAAGAAACAGAAAAGACGGAATTTGCCCCTCACAACCTCAGAAATTCACAAAATGCTTCAGGGCAAATTAAATATGTTTGAAGTGTAGATAATGTTGTAATTTAAGAATCTATGGTAAGCAATTTGAAAATAGCAAATCCCATAAACAGCAATGAGGTAAAAGATCAGATGATTTGCTTGGGTAGTGCTGATGACAGGATAGATATTAGCCAAGATGCAAGAAAACTCCCTGTCACTCTTCTGTATAGATAATTGAGCAGTCAATTGTATTCAGGTGGTAAGCATAAATTGGAGTTCACTTCGGCCAGATCTATTGGACCACACTGAAACAATGGCTGTGGGTTAGTATGCAAAGGTCAAGGTTCAGTTCTGCTAGTTGCTACTTTGAGTGGAATAAGCACGACAAACAATGATATCCACTTGAAAGGCAGTATCTTCAAGAAAATAATATTCTCTTAGCCCCTCAACAAAAGTTTCAATTTAGATTGTGTATTCCAATAGGGCTTGAACACACAACCTCAGAGTTATTGGTGAGTGTGCTACCACTGTGATAAGGCTAGCCAGTATTTCTAGTCATTCTTATGTTCTTTCCTGAATATCCTATTTTAAACTTTTCTTTTAAAAATATTTATGCAGATTTTTTTTTCTGAGAATGAAATTTCTGCTTCACCGCTGTCTTTGGAAGAAATATGTTCCATGTCTGAACAATCATTTGCAAAACAAAACTTTTTTGATGATATTAAATTTATGCGTATTAATTATCAACTTCACAAACCATGGAAATAATTGCTTCCATGTTTTATTGAAACCATTCAAAATCTACAACACCTCTATATCACAATCCTATTTATACTGAAAAAAATCCAGTGTTCCGCTTACTTGAGTATCTCTTTTGCATATCCCATGTTTCCTAACTAGGACACCCAAAGTGAAAGCAATATTTTAACTACGGAAAGCCAATGATTTAGCATTAGTTCTTCACTTCTACACTTTTTTTTTGCTATTCAGTTAACTTGGGATTCCATATATTTTTGTTACAGCTGTATTGATTTGTCATCCCACTTTTGAAATCCTGCCTTGTAGGAGCTGCTGTAATTCAAGAAGCTGAATTTCTGTCTCCGTAATTGAAATGAATTCATCCTTAAAAGTTAATGACTTTTCTCTCAATTGATATTTTATTTAATATCAATTCATATCTTTTATATCCAAACCCACACATTGTTCTAGGCAGCTGTTTATTCCTAATGATGCTTTAATATTTTTGTTTACATAATAACTGTCACTGTAAAAGGCCATCAATACAAAGACAAAAGGAAATGTTGCATGAATCAGCAGTTTCAGGAGAGGAGGTGAGAAAATGGATGGGATTTTTAAAAATATAACATTGATTGCTATTTTTATTTTGCAAAAAATATGCTTGCTCCAAGCCTTTAAAGGGAGATTGCCTTGCTAAGAAGTTTTCATCTGTGGGAAATGATATTCCTTCCCTACTAGGTGGAAATGTGTGGTCACATTTAAGTACAGAAATTACCTTGCTTAGAGCAAACAGGCCAAGCATCTTGAAGAGAGGACATTGGTGGGGAGCCTGAATGAGTAGAGTATTTTAATTTCAACAGAATATTGTCTGCAAATTGAATCAAGAAGGAAATATAATGGTATTTATTTTTATAACAAGTGGAAGGATGAAAAAAAATTGCCAAAGATTTTGTTTCAAACATAGTGCCTTCCCAATTTTTTGGAAAAGAGGAAGTTTAAGAATGAATAGTTCTGAAAAGATTGGACTCAAAACATTGTCTGTTTCTCTGTACATAGATGCTACTAGACTTGCTGAGTTTCTCCAACACTTTTTTTTTTTATTTTTATTTAAGCTTTAAGAATAAGTTGTTGACAAAAGAATTGGAATTCCGACAGATCCATAATGATTGCAACAGAAGCGGTGAATGGAACAGAAGCAGTAAGTTATGTTCACAATATTAAAGGTACTGGTCGTGAATTTGTCACTTTAGTGCCCAGTTCTTCAGTCATAGAGGTGACATTTTGAAACCAAAACTGAGTAAGCATGCTACTCGTACTAACTGTGCCTCCCTCCACTTGGGTGAGGGCAGTAGTATGTGCAGACAGTGTCCGCTGTAGAGATGCAGAGCAGGTAGATTGTGACATCGGTCAGTACTTTTTTTCCCAGTTTGATGTGAGCAGTACCATTTTGAGGGTTAAGGTTGCACAGCTGAACTCCTGTTCAGCAATAGAAAGGGCTTCCACATCTTTACCCCACCACTTACAACACTACTCAAAGGGGTCTCCAGCTAATACGAGATTAATTGCTGATTGATTTTTATTTTGCTTAATTTTAGAGACCTAGAGCATTTTCCGTATTGTTTTGATGTTGCTGAAGTCTATAAGGAGAAGTATGGCACATGTTGAATGACTTTGGGAGCAAGGTCAGAACATCAAATAGTTGTTTACATTTCCTTAAAATTTTCACAAAACTTTTATATATCTGGTTTCTACCAGTCTGGAGCAGTTACTACTGCAACATCTCTCTGTTCATCAGTCATTTGGGGATTACTGAATCTTTGTTGCTGTACAGAATTGAATACATTTCAGGGAGATTCAGGCAAGGCAATCATGGGGATTAATGTGAATTACAAGCTTCTTGATGGTGCAGGGTGCCAATAAAAGCATTTTACATTTCTTTTTGGGTGCTGCATGTCAACTGTGCAATGTAACCAGAAGGGACTGCATCCCCTCAAATTCCAGCTAGTGTATCACTGTCTTTGCCTTATGAAAGTTAATGCCTAGTTTCCTAGCAGCAATCATTATGCCTTCATTCTGATTCAGTCCACCGTCCTGTCTTCTTTTAAGCCACCATGGCAAACTAGAAAGTGTTTATTAGGTAACACCACTCATCTGTTGCCCATGTGGCTCGGAATCTAGTGAACCACATAAACACAAGTGAGAACCAAGGCTATTTTAGCAGACCACTGATTTGCTTAATCATTGCTTCTTTTGCATGGACACCTGTGGAGAAGCTCTGTTGTACTCAACAGAATTTGCGCCAAGATTTATTTGTTGTCACAGCCATTTCTTTCAGCTCTGTAGCGATCAACTGAGGTAATCAGCACTGTCCCTTACAGGCAGGCTGTCTATAATTGACTCCTCCAACTACTCAGGCTGACTTGTGCAGTAATGAGCTGAGCTTATATGAGAGGAGACTGAGCTTGCATGGTAGTGAACTGAGCTTCACAGCTTAGAATGAAAGTCTACAGCATAGAAAGAGATGACTTCTTCCCATGTGTCTGTGCCAGCTCAAAAGCAAGTCACTCTGCCTCATCCCATTTTCCAGCATTTGGTCCATTATCCTGCAGATTACATTATTTGAGGTTCACAACCAGACACTTTTTCATTGAATTGAGGCATTTGCTTTTATTACTCTTTCAGGCAATGAGTTCCAGATCAATGTCAACCTCTGGATGAAAAAGGTTTTCCTCAACTTATGTAATCTTTCTACCAATCACTTTAAATGTGTGTCTACTAGTCACTGACCACTCTGCCAGGGTAAATAGGCCCTTCCCATCCACCATATCAAGGCTTCTCACAATTTTGGGCATTTCCTCAAATCTCCCCTATGTCATCTCTGTTTCAAAGGGAACAACTCTATCCTGTCCATTTCTTCCTATTAATTGCATTTTTCATTCCCGCAATATTCTCTGCTGCAGTTATATCCTTTCTGATTGAAGTGACCAGAACTGCACACATTAGAGTACGTTGTGGCCTAACTAATGATTTGGATCGTTCAGGCATAACTTTCCTGCTTTTTATTCTATCCCTCGGCTAATAAAGTAAGCAAGTCCACGTAATTTCTTAAGCACATTATTAACTTGTCCTGCAAACTTCAGGGACCTCTGGATATTCACTCCCAAGGTCCCTCACTTTCTCAATACCTCTGAATATTCTTCTGTTAATTGTGTGTTTTTGTTTTGCTTTGTTTTGTATTTGTTAGGAAACATACCAACATCTCCTCTTGCCCACCTCAGGGAAGATGGTGTCATAGTAGTAATGGCGTTGGACTATTAATCCAGAGGCCCAGGCTGATGCTTTGGGGAAATGGGTTCAAATCCATCATAGCAGCTGATGGAATTTAAATTCAAGAATAAATCTGGAACATGAAGCTAGTTTCAATAACGTTGGCCATGAGAATTATTATCAACTGCCAGAAAATTTAGTGATCTTTAGGGAAGGAAATCTGCCATCCTTACCTGGTCTGGCCTACATATGGCTCCAGACCTGCAGTTATGTAGTTGTTTTGACTCTTAATTGCCCTTGCAACAAATGCTAGCTTTGCCAGGGAAGTCCATATCCCATGAAAGAATAAGGAAACCAATTTGAGATGGCAAGAACTGCAGATGCTGGAGTCAGAGATAACAAAGCGTGGAGATGGAGGAACACAGCAGGCCAGGCAGCATCAGAGGAACAGGAAAGCTGATGTTTTGGATTGGGACCCTTTCTGAAGAGATAACACTTTTACGTGGGTTGTTTTTATGGGCATTTTTACTTAGTTATTCTCTTATTCTGCTTCACCTTGACTTTACTTGCCAATACCCTATAATGGCCTCCCTTTGCTTTCATAATTTCCCTCGATTTCACCCCTCCATGTTCTATACTCTTGGCTTTCAGTAGCATTGAGTTTTTGCTGGTGGACAAGATCTTTCCTCTTTTGCCCTATCTTAATCTGTAAGCTGTTTGACAGCCAGGGATCTAGATGTCTCTGTGGGAATGTGTTGACTCTGAACCCCTTGAATGCCCCTTTTGAGTGCCTCCCACTGCTTGGATACTGATTTACTTTGTTTCCAGTCTATTTAATCTAAATCAACTCGTCAGCTTAGTAAAATTGGGTTCGTCCAGTTTGGAACTGTAACTACTGTTCTATCTTTTCCCTTTTCTGTAGTTTTGTTAAAACTAATTAAATTATGATACATGCCACTGCTTCACATGCTCCGCCTCATTTTCTGAAACACTGCACCCTCTCAATTTGTCAGGCTTGCTACATATGGAACAAAACATTGTCCTGAATGCATCTCAAGAATTCTGCTCCCATCAATCCCTTTCATATTGAATCTATCCCAGTTAACATTGGGATAATTAAAATCCTTTACTCTGTGTTTTGTAATTCTCAGATTTGAGATATAGGTCTGCCAGTAATAACCACACAATTGGACAACAAATAAAGGAACACATAATGAGAGCTTATCATTTAAAGTATGGTGATAGTCATAGGGATTTTAGTCTATAAATAGTCTGGAAAAATCAGGTGGGCAAAGGAATGTTTCTAAGACTGTTTGTTTTTTTTTGCACCAACACTTTCTGGATCCAGCCAGATGGTATGCTATACTAGACCTGGTATTGTGCAGGATGGATTAATAATCTTTTAGTGAAAGTGCCTGTAGATACCAAGAATCACAATGTGATCGATTGATTGAATTTTAAATTCAGTTGGGGGAGGGAAGGGGTTGTACAAGATTAGTAATTTAAACTAAATTAAAGGGTTTTTTTTGTTAATACATGGGGTGAGGGTGAACTGGCTAAGCCACCATCAACTATACTGCTGTGGATCTGGAGTCAAATATAGTCCAGACCAGGTAAGGATGATACTTTCCTTTCCTAAAGGATATTAGTGAACCAGATGGGTGTTTTTTGATAGTTAACAATGAAATCATGGTCATCGTTGGACTCTTAATTCCAGTTTTGTTTTAATTGAATTCAAATTCCATCTGCCTGAATATGCATCCCCAGAACATTACCGGGGTCTCTGGATTAACAGTCCAGTGATAACACCACTAGGCCATCACCTCCCCTAAATTATTAGGGCATGGAAACAAAACTACCTACAGCAAGCTAGCCAGTTAGGTTAAGGTGTACATCAATAGAGATGCCGTGGCAGACATTTTAAGGAGCTATTTCAGAATACACTGAACTGACACCTTCCAAGGAGAAAAAAAATTGAAGGTGAGGACCTGCCATCTGTGGTTAATTTAAAAAAAATAATATCTAGTCTAAAGAGAAATAATTTATTTGCACAAAGATGGGTGGCAGCTCAGGATATTGGACAGAATATAAAAAGCAGCAAAGAATAGCCACAAGTGAGATGCTGGAAGACTGGAGATTGGCTGACATGGTGTCACTATTTAAGAAAGATGTAAGGAAAAGCCTGACATTGGTGTTGGGCACGTTATTGGAGGGAATCCTGAGGGACAGGATTTGCATGTATTTGGACAGGCAAGGACTGATTAGGGATAGTCAACATGGCTTTGTGTGTGGGAAATCATGTCTCACTAACTTGATTGAATTTCTTGAAGAAGTAACGAAGAGGATTGGTGAGGGCAGAGCAGTGGACATGATCTATATGGACTTCAGTAAGGAGTTTGACAAGGTGCCTCATGGTAGACTGGTTAGCAAGGTTAGGTCACAGAGAATACAGGGAGAACTAGCCATTTGGATATAGAACTGGCTCAAAGGTAGAAGACAAAGGGTCGTGGTGGAAGGTTGCTTTTCAGCCTGGAGGCCTGTGACCAGTGGTATGCCACAAGGATCGGTGCTGGGTCCACTGCTTTTTGTCATTTTATATAAATTATTTGGAGGTGAATGCAGGAACTATGGTTAGTAAGTTTGCAGGTGACACCAAAACTGGAGTTGTAGTGGACAGCAAAGAAGGTTACCTCAGAATACAACGGGATATTGATCAGATGGACTAATGGGCTGAGGAGTGGCAGATGGACCTTAATTTAGATAAATGTGAAGCGCTGCATTTTGGAAAGGCAAATCAGGGCAGGACGTATCCACTTAATGGTAAGGTCCTCGGGGAGTGTTGCTGAACAAAGAAACCTGAAGTGCAGGTTCATAGTTCCTTGAACATGGAGTTGCAGGTAGATAGGATAGTGAAGAAGGCGTTTGTTATGCTTGCCTTTATTGGTCAGTGCATTGAGAATAGGAGTTGGGAGGTCATGTTGCGGCTGTACAGGACATTGGTTAGGCTGCTGTTGGAATACTGCATTTAATTCTGGTCTCCCTACTATAGGAAGGATGTTGTGAAACTTGGAAGGGTTCAGAAAAGATTTACAAGGATGTTGCCAGGATTAGAGGGATTGAGCTATAGGGAGAGGCTGAATAGGCTGCGGCTATTTTCCCTGGAGCACTGGAGGCTGAGCGGTGACTTTCTAGAAGTTTGTAAAATCATGAGGGGCATGGATAGGCTAAATACACAAATCTTTGCCCCAGGGTTGGGGAGTCTAAAACTAAACCAGTGAAAAACTTGTGAAAATGAGATTCCTGGACTCTCCCACAAGGAGGAACAACCTCTCCCTATCTACTCTGTCAAGTTGTCTAAGAGTTTTATATGTTTCAATAGATCACCTCTCATTCTTCTAAACTCCATTGAGTACAACTACTCAAGTTTCTCCACATTAGAAAATCCCTCCAAATTCGATCAACCTTCGCTGGATTGCCTCCAAAGTCAGTGTATCTTTCCTTATATAAGGGATCCAAAATTGTTTACAGTATACTAGGTATGGTTTGACCAGTACCTTATATTGTTTTAGCAAGATTTCTCTATTTTTATATTTCAACCCTTATGAACTAAAGGCGTACAGTCCATTTGCCTTTCTTCCTATCAACTGAACTTGAATCCTAGCTTTGGGATTCACGCATAAGGAACTCCCAAATTTAGTTGTGCTGCAGATTTTTGCAATCTTTCTCCAGTTAGATAACATTCAGCTCTTCCATTCTTCCTAACCCCATATTTTTCCACACATATTGCATCTGAAGACTTTGTCATCCTCACCACTTGCCTTCCCACCTATTTTTGAGTCATCTGCAAACTTGGCAACAGTGCATTTACTTCCCTCATCCGAATCATCAATATATATTGTAAATAATTGCCACAGGGATCAGTGGTAGGACACAATCTGCTAGTTACAGATTACCATTCTAAAATGAACCCTTATCCTAACTTTTTGTCTTCTATTAGTTAGCCAATCCTTTACCTATGCTAAAATGTTACTTTGAACACCAAGGGCTCTTAAACAGCCTGGTGTGCAGTACCTTATCAAATACCTCTGGAAATCCAAGTATATTTATCTGTTCCTTTATTTATTGTTTTATCTATTCTGCTTGTTCATTTCCTCAAAGAATTTTATTCATTTTGGCAAGCATGATTTTGCCTTTATGAAACCATGTGTTTGCTTGATTTTGATCCATTTGTAAGTTCTGTGCTCTTACATCCTTGATAATGAACAATTCCCATTGATGATAAATGTTAAGCTAAATGGCCTATAATTACCTTTTTTTTTGTCTTCCTCCTTTTTTTGAATGACATAACAAGGTTAAGAGTGGGCAAAGATCTGACAAATGGTGTACAATATTGGAAAAATGTTAAATTGTTCATTTTGGCAGGCAGAATGAAGAAAGGATGTATTTTATCTAAATGAGGAGAGATTGCAGAGCTGTGAGATTTTTCTCTATATATTCTTATATGAGATGTGAACATTACTAGTAAGACCAGCATTTGTTACTGATCACTTAGCCCAAGGGCAATTAGGGACAGCTAGGCCATTTCAGAGAGCACTTAAAAGTCTGCCACATTGCTGTGGGTCTGGTATCACATGGAGGCTAGACCATGCATGGATGAAAGATGCCGTTCCCTAAAGGACATCAGTGAATCAGATTTTTTTAATAACAATCAACAATAGTTACATTGGTCGCCATAGACTAGCTTTTAATTCTGGATTTTCCTTTATGTTCACATTTCACAATCTATTTAAACAATTACTAATCTAATGACATAAGCCTTCAATTCAAGTGAGGTAAAGGGATCTGGGTGTGCAGGGTGCAGAAACGGCAAGTAATTAAGCAAGTTAATAGAATGTTATTATTTATTGAAGGGGAGTTGAAAACAAAGTTACGAAGATTAAGTTTTACTTGCATGGTGTATTGGTGAGATCACACCCGAAGTACTGTATAAGTTATTAGTCAACTTATTAAAGGAAGAATTTGGAAGCAGTTCAAAGAAGACTGCTAGATTAATACCTGGAATGGGCAAGTTGTCTTACAAAGAAAGTTGGGCAGGTTAGGTTTTTATCTGCTAGAGCTTAGAGTAAGAGGCAACGTGATTGAAACCTATGACAAGATCCCAGGGGGATCTTGACAGGTGGATGTGGAAAGGATATTTCCTCATTGAGCTAAATCCCAAACGAGGGCTCATGATTAAAAAATAAAGTGTCGCCCACTCAATACAGAGATGAGGAGAATTTTGTTTTCCTTTAGAGGATCATAAATGTTTAGAATCCTCCCTTCCTCAGAAGGATTGGGCAGCAGTGACGTTATGGTAATATCACTGGACTAGTAATCCAGAAAGTCATGCTAATGGTCTGGGGGCATGGGTTCAAATCCCACCATAGTGAAACTTGAATTCAGTGGAAATCTGGAGTAAAAAGCTAGCCATGATTGGATTGATTGCAAAAATCCTTCTGCTTCTTTAATGTTCTTTAAGTATGCTATCCCCTTGCATGTGACTCTAGCAATGCAGTTGTATCCAAACTGGCCTCTGGAATGGCCTGGAAGGCTACTCAGTTGCATAAAACAACTACAAAGTCGAAACAATGGAATGAAACTACATGGTTCCATCATCACCAGTGGTTTCAACTATTGGCCATGATGGAAACGGTGGCAACCACATTTTCACCCTTTGTGGTAGTGACATCCAAATTTTCCTGTTCACCTCCAGATTGCTGCTGCTGCTTCTGGCTCATCTTACAAGAGAGAGGGAAATGTGTTTTGCCTTCTGTTTGGGTGATGTCATTACAATGATTGAATAGGTTTGTGCAGATTTGAGTCTTGTAGTAATGTGACCACGAGGAGGACCTGTAGAAGAGTCACACTTCACAGAATCACAGAATTGTTATGGCGCTGAAGCCTGAGTGCAACTCTCCTGTCTTTTCCCCATATCCTTGAACACCATTTCTATCCAAATAATATTCCAATGTCATTGTGAGTGCCTTGATGGAGATTGTTGAAAGGCAAGTGATAGGACTGTGCTAATTTAAACAAAGCATGAGGCTAGTAGTGCATGTGGGGGTTATTTGGTATTTGAATATGTACCTTAACTGGCCCTGCATCTGGATCCTTGGGGCTAAATTTCTGATGTTGACATCAACAGATGTCTGCGCCCACTGCCTTGGCAGAGTTTGTCTTTCCACCAGTGTATGGAGGACCTCTCTCCTCCTGTCCATCTCCTCTATTAAGACATCAGCTATACTTCAGGACCCTGGAATATCCACTGTGCCCTGTTGCTCCATAATTCAAGTTCTGTTTGTTCCCTCTTCTGCAGCCATTTCAAATTGCAATTGCTCTTTAAGAGGTGCAAGCTAGTTTTAAATAGTGCAGACTAGCATTAAGTGCTATACTCTCTCAAACATGGCCCCTTTACTGAGATTTACAGACATGCAGCAATGCATTTAGTGCTGGCTGCACACACAGCTATCATGAAAATTAACAGACAGCCCAAAGATTGGATGCCAGCTCCATTAGAAATAATAGATTTGGGTTAATTACAGAGTGACATCCAAGACTGTTTCCATGCCCTGTTGACTTTTTCAGCCATAATATCCATCTAAATTGTAATTATTGAAGGATTAAAGAGAGTTGAGCTCTTGAAGCTTTAAAGCAGTTAATGAGATAATCCTAGAGGTATGTAAGATAGTAAATTATTTCGAAAAGATACATGTGAATACTGTGGGTGGGGCAGCTTGGCAGAGGCTTAGTTTGACTAAACAGGTTTTGAATTTAGATCTGATACTCCTTGCACAGAGTTTGAATGAATTCCAATAATTTTATTTCTTTTTCTGAAAATGGTGTGTATTCAGAATTCCAGTCTTATTGTAATTTTCATTCATGTATTAATTTGCTAGATATTTTTAGTTAAGTAACCATAAACTATTTTAAAATATGTCCCTAATTTAATTCTTAGAAATTATGCATCCTGTTGGCTGCAGTAACACTGGCTGCTGTGAGCCAGAGAAGGAGGTGACATTCGGTGCTGATGATGTGAGCAGCGATGACCAGTTTGATTTATGTTCTCCCCAACCGGACAAACTTTATGGAAACAGCTATAAGTCGATCAGCTGCGTAAAACAAGAATCGTTGGAGGAGCCGAATTCACAAATGGGTGTTGGTAGGAATGCAGAAGCTCAGAATGACTTGAAAAGAAGGAAAAACATTTTTCGGGCAGGGAAACGAGGAAGACCATCAGGTACGACGAAAGCTGCTGGGTACAGAACCAGTACAGGCAGACCTTTGGGAACAACAAAGGCAGCTGGTTTCAAGACCAGCCCAGGCAGACCCTTAGGAACTACCAAGGCAGCGGGATACCGGGTCAGCCCAGGAAGGCCCCCAGGTACCATGAAAACACTCTCCCGTATTTCAGGTCTCGATTTCCCGCCATGTAGCAGTGCTGCCTTTAGTTATTCAATGGTGCACAGCAAAACATTAAGTGGACCTGCTGAAACCACAAATAGAAGCATGGAACTGAATCAGTAGAGATCAGTCAAACATCTGCCTTGTTTTTCTATAATCTGCTTCTTGATAAAGTAGGGTAACTTTTTATACGACATATTGATCCGCAAACCCATATAATCAATTTCCCAGCACACTGTTAAATAGCATGGAGGATGTGTAACGTCAGCCCTGAAATAAACTGGCCTGTGGACCATTGTGTATAACATTGTAACTAATGGGCATAATGTATTTTTTCTTTTTATAGTGGAATTGTATGGTATTACTTGCAGAGATAAAGCTACAGTTTTTTTGGAAGAACTATTATTCATTAGTGTCCAGTTTTGCACATGATTTCCTCTTTCTTCAGTACATGCTATCTTAGATTACTGAGGGCGGGCAGGGTATTTGTCCCACAGTTTGATGCAGTTGAAATTCTATATGGGTTTTATTGATCTTCATTTTTGATCTGTTGTACATAGAACTGCCATGGCAACCCCACTAACTTTATTATTGGTTATTGAGTATTAATTATTTAACATCTCTTCAAAAAAATGATTACAGGAAATAGAGAAATTGTAACTGTGTGTGTCAACTTAATATGTTGTCTCTCATGCTGCATTGGAGCTGCTAGGATATTTTTGAGTGTATGTAAACATTTGTTTTTACGTTTATTTGAATTCTTTTAGCTACCTTTTTATTATTGCCATAGGCAATATTGAGAAAGGGATAAGTATTGGTTATGCAAGATGACTTGTCAGGCTGGAGCTCATTCTGCGAGAAGTGGTCAACTGTTAAACAGACTTAACCAGGAGGCCTCGTAGGTGTGTTACTGAAACTGTGGGAGGTGTGCACAATGGTACTTCATGAAAAATCAGGTTTTAATTACTGTTCTTGCAGGGTGATTATCAATATGATAGAATTTGTGTGATGGTTGATTTTTAATGCAAATTAACCTCTACAGAAATCTTGTATGCTTTATTGAAAATAAATTTTCCCATGGTTACAAACCACCATGAAATCCCTCACATTGCTGTTTAATCAAGTGTTTTGGGAATACTGATACATCCTATGTTTTTAGTGCTTTTTTAGTGGCTATTCTGAAGGACTGTAATATAGCTATGGATCATACAGATGTTTAGGTTGGATGGCATATCAGATTCTCACTTCTTGTTAATAAACTTGTAGAATGTTTAGCATTTGTCAAAGGTGTGTTGGGAATGGGCAATTAATAGATGAGACAGCCACACTAAAGGAAGAATGGTTATGCTTTATTGCAGGGAATTGTATTACAGTTGAAAGAGGAAAAATACTTGTTCAAATGGATCAACCCTGCATTTCTCAGGATATTGATGCAGAGAATAATCTTAGAAAAGAAACTTGCTTTTCAGCAGGCTTAGTAGTAATGAAGTGGCCTGTATTCAGATTCAGTTACCTAAAAGACCTTGTGCCTAACTGAAGCAGAAGAAAGACCAGACATAGAGACTACTGCGCAACGAAAACTATATGTAAAACTAGGAGTTATGTAACTACTGAATAACCCATCAACAGATATTCAGTTTATAAATATTCTTTAATTTTCATTGAGAGTTTTTAAGAGACTTGTGAAAGCAGAAACTTGGAACGCATTTGCTTTTATTCACTGGCCAAGGCACTTCTACTAAAATTCATCTTAAAAGATCATTGTTTGTGATTGTAGACCGGAAGGTAGCTTCTGTTAACATTCTAGTATAGAGGCCATATTTTTGGGGGGGTGGTATTCACTAATCTACTGCGCTGCCTTTACCTTTTGTGATCAACAGTGATATTACAACATTGTGTTAGTCCATTTCATTTGGCTGCCTGCAGATGACAAATTGCTAGTGGAGAACATTTATTGGACAATCCCATGAAACAGTGAAACTGCTGTTTTCAAAATTGTGATAATTGCTTAATCACTCATTAGATTTGAACAGAACTGTAGGCAGTTATTTTGTTCACCAGGGGACTGAACTATCTTTTCAAAATGTTGCCTTCTCATGGGAAATAGACCATTTTCCATCTTCCTTTAGGACTAAAGCAAATTTCGAATTTGACGATCTGTTCATTAATAGAAAGTTTGTATTTTACATCTTTGGACCTATTTGAAAACTCTGTTAATGCTGCATCAAATAGACCAAATCTGTAAACTTAATCAAGTGCAAACAAAGCCAAAAACCAGAGATAAACCACAGCTATTAATATCCTCATTCTAACAATTTCAGTAGCACAGGTGGCACTGCAGTCATGGTCATTGTATTTTGTAAAATTAAAAGTCTCAGTTGCATGGCATTCTCTATAATAAATGCACTTAAAAAATAAATGCAATGTGATGTGAAACTTCTGTTTGTAAAACTATACAATATCTTTCTATCTCTCTCTATTAGTGTTTAACAGGCAAAGGCAAGACCGAAGGAAAACTCAACAACCAGAGAGTTAAGCACTGTACTTTAACGCTTCTACATAATCACAATTGGACATGCAAAAGGTTTGATTGACAACTAGGGTTGATTGACAACTACGTGAATCGTTCCTAGAAAGGCAGGTTTTCACATTTATTCAACATGTTCTACTGTAATAGTAACACTGATGTTTTACCTAAAGTATTCCATGTATGCATCTTTGAAATTTAAGACATTATTGCGGCATCCCTTGTAGCTGCCTATTTTCACTAATCCGTCACATGAGACATCTTCTACAGTCAAGAACATGCCTTGGACTAGTTTTATATATCCAACAACTCTGTTTCCAAATTGGAAATCTGAGTTTTCTGTTTCATAATAAAACCAATTTTTCCGAAAATCCTTGCAGACACTTTCTTAATTAGACTTATAAGAGATCTGTACCTGAAGGTGATTTAAGTTACAACTTAAATTCTGAAAATTTATAAGGAAGCTTAGAGCTATGCACCTGAGTAAAAGAAAATCTTGCTCAATGTTTTGCGTAGGCAGATAGGTAATACGTCAGTAACATGGATACTGTGTATTTTCTGGACATCAATAGGTGTCTGCCACCAGATGCTGCGACAGTGCCGAAGATCATTAACTTTGAAGGAACCTTGGTTGTATTTCTAACATTTTGGATACATGTTGACAAACTGCATGCTTCAACTTTACTGTTACATGTACTGTATATACAACTGCCTCATCAGAACACTTGTATGTAAGGGACATAGTTTGACCAGTATGGTTATATGATAAAACTGTTTGTATTTGGAAAATGACCTCTTTTTTTTTTTTAGAAGGTTGGAAAGCGTGTTTTTGTTTAAAAGCTCTTTTATTGGGGCATCCCTTGATAGTTTCATCGGTAAATGGTTTAAATGTCTTTGAGGAGGCAAGTCCCAAATGTCATGCTCATTATGACTTTAGTTCATTTCTACAGAGATGGCAGTGCGGATGTGACATGGAGCTGTGGTTGTACCTAGCTGTGACCTTCTGTATTGCTGCTTAACGAGCTGTCAATCTGTCTAGGCAGCCTTCAGATAATGGATTAATTAAAATAAGTGGTGGAATGACATTTTAGGATCACAAAACTTTGCAGCAAAGAAAGAAGTCATTCAACTTATTATGCTGGTCATTTTTTTACTACCTGCCCTTCACATTGCACTCTTCATATTTTCTCTGGGCGAACAAATAGCTGCCAATATACTCAAATGAAGAGCAAAAAAGGAACAATACTGGGAAAGTAAGTTCCATTCTAAAATTGTTACATCAGCTTAATGGTCTAAATTGGCATTAAAAAGTTCTGGAATTCCTCTCTCTCCAACAAATCTGATATGGAATTGGAAGGCATAAATATATTTTTGCAATGGGTCAGTGGGATTTTTTAAATGGGTACTGTGCCCTGTTTTTGAAAAGTATGTTTTGATAGAATATCAAAAACACAATCCTTAACTGTTCTTCAGCATATGCTGCAAAGTCACTCGCAGATCCTGTTTAATCATTGCATGCTTACTTCCTTGTCTTCCTCCTCCTTTTGAGGTGCATGCTGGAAATTGAACTTGAATAACAAACCAGTTTTGAGGTGAAGAAAGGAGATAAGTATTTCTGTTTATGGCTGAAATTGTTTTCTGTCCTTGAACTACTTTGGGTTAAAATTTTAGAATCTGCTATTTTAGATACTATACCCTACCCTATGGTTAGATTTCCCTAAAAGGAACTTTCAATGTGCATTCAGACATGACATGGAGGAGGACTGATGCCTCCCATGTGAAAAAAACTCCTTTATCAGCTGGATATCTCCACATTTAAAGAAAGTGTGTCACACTTGGAGGGAGTAGTGTTGGGTAATACATTTTTGGTTTGAATTTAAAAATCCTCAGTCAATGGACTATGGGTACAGTATTTCCCTATTCTTGATTAGTAACTGATGGAAAGGAAAGGGCATAAAACAAGTGTAACTGTAAAATTATTCTTTGGTCTGGAAGTAACATTTTATATTGTTGAAAATCAATGCTAAAGAAACGTCATGCTTATTTATTTTGTTGTGCAATATTCTTTACAATGTTATAATTAGAATTGGGATATGTCACAGACATGTTTTGAAGCAATATGCTGAAGAGAAACAAAGAATAGAGGAACAGGAGTAAGCCATTCAGCTCTTTTGAGCCTGCACTGCCCTTCAATATGATCATGGCTGATCATCCAACTCAGTATCCTGTTCCTGCTTTCTCCTCACATTGATATTTTTACCCCAAACAACTATATTTATCTCCTTTTTGAAAACATTCGATGTTTTAGTCTCAACAACATTGTGTAGTAGGGAATTCCATAGGCTCGCCACATTTACTGGATGAAGAAATCTTTCCTCATCTAAGTGCTAAAAGGCCTACCGTGTAGATTGTTCTAGTTCTGATCTCCCAAGTCACCGAGAATATCCTTCCTGCATCTGCCATGTGTAATCCTGTTAGAATTTTATAGTTCCCATTGTTTTCCTTGATCATTTCTTTCCACTAATTGGGAAAGTGGATCAACTACTGTAAGTTAATGTAACTTCAGAGTTACAGCTGCAGTTTGCTGTGTGTAGCATTTGAGGATTCTGTGAAAATGCAGCATTAGCTTCTTTTACTTTCTAAGAGGGAAGCACTGCTTTAAACTTTGCTGGGTTCAAGGGTCAGTTACCACTGCAGCTCAACTCCTCTGTACACTGGCTATTTTTTGTGAAGAGTTTTTGGTTTATTTTTAATCAAGCCAATAATAATGTAAATTATGTGGAAATGCATCAAATGTTATGTCTATTTGGCAAAAGGTTATATTTAATACTTGTATCCACACATCATCATCTTTCCACCAAAAAAGTGCATAAACCCATTGCCTTCATCTAACTAATATTGTTTGAAAGTTTTGGTTTCTGGAATTTGAGAAGCTAGAAAATCCATGTCTTAAAAAATTTATTATCCAAATCTTTATTGAAACTGTAATTATGGCAGTCACATTTTTGGTTACTCCCAAATGTGATCTTATTAGAATGTATTTCATCAGGAAATCACTTTGTGCTGTTATTTAAAAGTCAAAAAATCTATTTTAAATATTTATTGATCTAAAAATTGTTCTAATTAAACTTGACCTCCGAGTTACTGGTCTTTAAGTAATCAGATACTTGTCCCCCACTTCAATATTTAAATATTTCTTAAATGTAATTTAAATATTTATATTCACAAGAAATTCATTAATTTACAATTTTCTCATTTTAACTTATGTTTTTAAATGTTTCAGATTAGACCCCTGTAATAAGCTAGTACGTTGAACTCTGTCTTTTTTTTTCTGAGAAATCCTCTGATTTCTCCACCTTCTGCACTCCTTTGCTAAATTAAAAGAAAAATTGTTATACCTTGGCATATCTCTTTTCAGTTCTGACATAACTTTCAAATGTGCGTGTTGGTCAATAAAAGTTTATATTTTTTAACAAAGTAGCTGATTGTTGCCTGATGTGGTCACAGATAGTTGGAATTCAGTTTTGCATGTATGATTCTTTATCAGTCAGGATCCTGATGTTAACAGTACTTCTATGGGCAAGTGCCAAGCTGATGCCTTTAGCTATCCTTTTTGAGAGAGAGCTATTACTGCTTACTGTGAACAAATAGCTGGCAAAAAAAAAGCTTTATTAACAGACTTCTCTGAGCAGATGTCCATCATCTATTCTCAGCCTGATCATACCAAACTACCATAGAAATTTCTGTTTGTCTTTTTTATTCCATTTGTAGCTTAAACTGTGATCATTTTCTTAGTTTTCAAACTGTTCACTTTTTTTTTAAACTTGCCTCTACTACATTTGAGTTAATCTAATTAATCTATATATTTATTTGTTCTTTCTACCCTGTCACCATTTACATTTTGCATTTTGACTGAGATAGTTGGGGTGTAGTCTATGGTAAGCCCACATTTTTCTCTATAACCCTTAAAATGTCACCTGGACATTTGAAACAGCATCTTATTTATTTGACGTTGACTTTATGTCTCTATTTAATACTGCTCAGAATAATAATGGACTAGATTTAGAATTTCTGTTCTGTCACTTACACTGCATGGTAAAATATGTGGGAGAGTGGGTCAATGCATTCTATCTGGCTCTATTTTTAGAGATGTGCTATTGCTTATTGTTTTATCGGACTTACAGTGCTTTTCCTTTTTTCCATTTTTTGATTCCCATTTTATAATTCTTTATTCAAGTGTGTAGTCTCCCTGCCTGTTTCAATGGTGCTTGTGAGCACCAGTGATGCAAAGGAGAAGGCAATCTTTTTCAGTCATAATCTGTTTCTACTAGCAAACCCTAACATAGAGCAACAATTGTTGTGCTGTGTAATATTTGTATTTTGTTTCTTTGAAAGAACAATAAACATTTTGTTTCTACCTTGAATTGGACCTACATAAGTCTTGCTCCAGTACAATTTGGGGCTTCTGAAACTTACATTTTAACTTTCTAAACTTCTCTTAAAAAATATAAAAATTGCAAAGATCGGAGTTCTTTTAATTGGGGATGTACTTGATCTTTAGCAGTTGCATGAAAAAGGAGGCATTAGCAAATCAAAGACAAATAGCATAGAAACTTGGATTGCGCATAAAATGTATATTTTGCATTACTGCCAAAAATCAATTTAATTTCCAGTCTGAGAACATTTTTGCACCAAACACTTGGTGCATACGGTTAATAAATTTTTAAATTGCCAGTCTATATGTTTTTTCAAAAATCCATTACCTTGTGGATAGGAAATCCCTGGTGCAACACAAGAAGCAGATTTGCCGTACAAACTAAATGTGCAATATTGACTTAGCATTTCAGATAGTGACTATTATAAGAACAAATAATTGGGACATCCTGCC